AAAGACCCTTCTAATAATTAGTTGGCACTTTGGTCCCATATCTATCGCTATTATAATCAAATGAATGTATAGTGCGTCTCATGATACCAACGTTTAAATGTGGACTGTCCTCCAGTCTACACGTCTGCACTCAGCCAAAGAGGCCAAATTAGGGTAGCCATCTTGCGAAGGAATCAAAGCTGAGGTAATTTTAAAGGTCAAAAGAAAGTCAAGATTTTATTGTAGGTGACTTTTGGTTGAATAAACATGCATATAAGATTACACGTCATACCACAATCAATATAATTACAAAAGGTATGTTTCTTTCTCAAGCTAAATTACATAAATGGAGTGTCACTGATTGACTGACCACTCCAGCCTGGTGGCCCTCCACACTTCCTAAATCTGAAAATTCTGAAGTCGAATGACGCCAGGGTAGGAGTTGACACCGTCACTGGAGGCAACATTGGGGTTAAACCATTTGAAAATGGTTTAACCCCTTGAGGTAAGAGTGCCTCTGGGGGCCTCCTGGAACCATAACAACTTCATTTAGATTAAGTTGTTTTGGTGCAAGCAGTGACATTTTAAAACAGTTTAATTTATTTAGTAAATAGACCCATTCATTTTCCAGTTTGGATAAACATACACTTAGCGTTCCAGGAATATCCCTGTAGATTTGCATAAACGTGTCATTGGATTTATCCAGATCCTAGCGCCAGCTTTTCAGTAACTTTGATCATATTAAAGCTGCTTAGAAAAGACAATAATGTGAAACAGAGAAACCAGCGTTTAAACTTCATTTCATGCTGCTAAATTAATTTCTCTATTAATATAATTGCTGGCTGGGCCTTTATTTAACGTTCCACGGAAACACGCAAATTTATCACTGGGTTTGGGAGCATGTAGCACAAGCATGTTAACTTTTGTGGGTTTAGCACCACTAATAAGGTCATTATTGATCTGAGATCTCTATCTAAAGAGCTAGGTTTGCCATTTTTAACAGTGTTCCTAGACAAAATAACAAAGTTTATATTCTTTGGCAGAGTTATTTCCCAATGTGAGAATTATTAGGAGTTTAAAGAGAATTTCACATTTAAGGCCACATTGCACAAACTAGAAACATAACAGACTTCGGGACATTTTAGTTAATTTGGCATTTATTTTGAATTAACTTAGAATTCCAGATCATTTTCAGCTTAATGAATAGCCTTGTAAATTGAATGGATGCTGAAGAGAACAGACTATGGTTTATATTTATACACAGTGAAAAAAAATGAGTTTAGCCAAATCAATATGGCCGTGAAATATAATTCTTGTTTGTCTCGTTTGAATATCATCCACACAAATGCTTTGTTAAGACAAATCAAAAGATGTGCAACAAACAAGCCTATCACTGTATTCCAAAATCTATACAGAGTATGTCCATGTCTATATACTTTGTAGTACTGAGGCAGGAGCATTGAGCGCCCTTTTAAAGAACAAAGAGAGAAGAAAGACCCTGCCGTATCGAGACGAAGCTACCCCTAAATAAATAGATAAATACAGGCTAGTGTAACTAGAATAGACTTAAATAAAGTATAACACATATGAGTTTAATATCCCAAAGAGAAAGAAAAAAAAACATTCACTATTGAATCAATCAGTGAGCGCTTAGAGACAAAGTTACCACACTTGTAGCAAATGTAATAGTAATTGTTGGAAACAATCTATCATAGTGCCCTCACAGGATAAATGATTACACAAAGCAGTGTGAATGATTGACAAAAGAACCCCCCCCCCCAAAAAAAAAATGCTGTGTCCTAGTACAGATAACAATAGAAAATGGCACACGAATCCCCCCTTGTCCAGTCAGAGGTAATCTCTATATAATCAAAAATTCAAAATTCAAAATTCAAAATTCAAAATTCAAAAAAATGCCCTCAGATCTTATCATAAAGATAAGAAATCAAAAGGACAGAAAAGACAATATAGTGAAAAATAAAGGGGGAAAGAAAAGGAGTCCACAGTGGACATACTGTAAATACCCCCAATCTATATATAGGTACCACAACTATTGGTGAAGACCAGACGATCAATATAATATCTGGGCACAACACTAGAAGTAAAACAAAACCAAAGTACTAATAAACGTGATGCTGAAAAATAAGTATAATAACATCAAAATAGCCCAACGCGCGTTTCGGCGGACAAACCACCTTTACTGGTATAACGCATTTTTTGTACTTCGTGGTAGGGTTTTTGATCCTTACCAGGTGGTATATATTTTCCTTGTATAGAATATCTTTGCATGGTTTCAATACCAGGGTTAATTATAACGGTTTAATTTACTTATTTATTCTTATGTTCTGCTATGGCAGGTTTTTTATCTAATAAAATGGATGGTAGCATCTGGTGCAAAGATGCAGATAACGTGTTTTCTAACACGAAAATGGACCTGAATGCTACCATCCCTGATATTAATAAATCATTTAATAAGCTCCACAATTTATATAGGAAACAGATCCGAACATGCTGGGAGATTTCCTCTCTAGAAAATTACATACGAAAGGAGATGATACCAAGGGGCCTTAGGGTGAGGAATACCCCCTCCTCATATTCTGAGAATGTTGATCTAATGAAGGAATGGGAGGAGGCTGCTGGAATCTGCTCAAAAACCTTTATGCAGATTATTTGCAAATTTGAACAAGAACAACTTCAAATTGTAAATACAAGCCTTGATGAAGAAATCAATGGGATTAAACAATTTCAGAGTGATCCTAATTTTGCCTTCCTGGAATCCAGGTTGAAACAAAACCTGGACGAGTACCAGGAATCAGTTAAATGTAGGAAACATGATAAATTTTTAAGGGACTCCCATGATTATCAGACAGGAAATGTCTATAAACTTTTCAATCGTAGAATTCGGCGTACTTCTGATAATGGTTTAACATCTGAGTATGGCTCCTCAGACACAGATTCAGGGAGTCACACTCAAAGTAATACAGCCGAATCACAACCCCAACCTAGTTCCTCTATAGGGGGCCCTAACCCGAAAGGGATCCTAAAGAAGGGAGTTAATTTTTTAGCCCCAGGCTACCAGGAAGAATTCCCAAGTCATCGGACAAGGTACCAGACCCAAAATCCAAGGGGGGGAGGAGGGGAAGCAGGAAGAGGTATTAGAGGCTTTTAAGGTAGTAGAACATAAGTCCCAGGTTATAAACCTATCCTCATGTACATTATCTTTAGATCAAACTACTGTTTTGGATAGAGGCCTTTCATTTGTACCAACACCTCCCTTTGATAGATTTGGTTGGATTAAAGATCTTCACCTTTTTGTTAGAAAATTGGCTCTACATAAGTTCCACTCTGTCCAGAATGAGAGAAAGGCTAGAGACCTTGGACTTGCACCTAAAGATTAACAATGCCTCACTACCCTCCTGGCCCTCTTAGACGAAAACGACCCGAATGTTACCCAGAACCGTACTGACCTAAAACTAAAAAGTCGGTATACCCCCAGTTTTGCGGGGTTTAGAAACATTGAATTATTCTTGGAAGCAGCTAAGAGTGAAAAAGACACTGTGGACTCCTTTTCTTTCCCCCTTTATTTTTCACTATATTCTCTTTTCTGTCCTTTCGATTTCTTATCTTTATGACAAGATCTTAGGGAATTTTTTTGAATTTTCAATTTTTGAATTTTGAATTTTTGATTATATAGAGATTACCTCTGACTGGACAAGGGGGGATTCATGTGCCATTTTCTATTGTTATCTGTACTAGGACACATCATTTTGGTGTCGTGGGTGGGGGGGGATTCTTTTGTCAATCATTCACACTGCTTTGTGTAATCATTTATCCTGTGAGGGCACTATGATACATTGTTTCCACCAATTACTATTACATTTGCTACAAGTGTGGTAACTTTGCCTCTAAGCTCTCACTGATTGATTCAATAGTGAATGATTGCTGGTATTATCCAATGTACAACATTATTGTTTTCTTTCTCTTTGGGATAATAAACTCATATGTGTTATACTTTATTTAAGTCTATTCTAGTTACACTAGCCTGTATTTATCTATTTATTTAGGGGTAGCTTCAGTGGAAGGATTCCTCTCGTCTCCATACGGGAGGATCTTTCTTCTCTCTTTTTTCTTATCGGTATATGTAGGGTTATGCCCTTTTTGCTACCCCTATAACCCATTTTTTGTACTTCGTGGTAGGGTTTTTGTTCCTTACCAGATGGTATATGTTTTCCTTGTATAGAAGCCCTTTTAAAGAAGCTAATTCTGTCTGGACATTCTGTCCACATTCTGTCTATTCTATTCACCAGTTATCGGTTACTTTTGAACATTCGGTTGGGTATTCTAAGCAATCAGTCTGACCAATCCTTGGTTTATTTCACTGTTACATCATTTATTTATGTATTTGATTCAGTGTCGGTCCCGTAACCATAAATGATCTCTCTTTATTGCACCCCGACAGAACACTGAATCATGAAGCAAACAATTTGTCCTTGTCGTTTTTTTCAAGACACATCCATACGGATGCAGAATGAGGATGGCCCACTTATAAGCGTTCGTACACATTGCAATTCGTTTGATACTGTGGCGAAAGCCGCCTGGCCACTGGACATTGGAGAGGCCTGGCTGCCCGCCTCCTACCTGCTGACTATGGCCCCTGGTGAATTTGTACTTTGGAATACAAAATTTGGGCATGTGGTATTTTATATTGCTGCTACTGGCCCTTTAAGAGCCATCCGTGGACATATGACTTTTTAGGAACAATATCCCTTTAAGACTTTGTAGCCGATTACAGTAAGGATGTCTTTTATATTATGTATGTTTCTGTGTGTTCGGCTAGATTGTATATGTATTTGCAGCATTCCCCTGATTGTTCGGTAGAATCACTCCATTCATTATATTGAGTGAAACTACCGAACAACCAGACCACCCAGGAATAAGTGTGCCTCCAATTACCGTTTGCAACAATGTTGCAAACGGGTAATTGGCAATCGATGTAATGTGTTCTTTGTCCTCTGGGTGGCCGCCATTCGGGAAACGAACACGTGGCGGCGGCCATCTTAAACTCCCGAACAGCGGTGTTTTGCCGTCGAGTGTCTGGAACTAAAATCGGACACTCGACTAGGCAAACACCGCTGAGACCTCCAGACTTCCAGCAATTCGTGCAGAAACTACCGAACGGCCCGCCGTTCGGTAGAAAGGATCACACGAACAAGGGGATTCATACGAATCCTCCCCAAGCTCTATAACCCAGGCCATTCATGTGTTTTGTTCACTTTTCTGTGACCGACCGCAGGGCCAGAATGCATGGAACTATTTTTGGATACTTTTGCCATGCGGTCGGTCAAAACTTGTAAGTCCCATAACTCCCGAACCCTTTATGCGAATGGGCTGATTTTCACATATGTTGGTCCTCCAGACCAGGGCTATCTGGAGATACTGGATTTGTGGATGTACCCCAAGTATTTGGGGTGCATCCAAAACTCGGGGAAATCTATGTACATGTTAATTATGTTAACTGGTTATCTGAGGGGAGGGAATCTGTGGGTTGTAACCATGATGCTATTGGTATACTGTAAATCCCTCCTTTGCATGGGAAAATCCTTTATGAGCCTGTTGTGTGAATAAATCAGGAGTTCCTGCTTAACCCTCAAAGTGAAGTGTCGTCTCATTATTGGGGGAGGATTTATTGTATGCTGTTCCAGTTTGACTGCCAGGAGTGTAAACCTATTCGCATGTTTTTTCCTATTCGGCTGTATACAACATTCACATGCTTGAGAGCATTCATATGCTTCTCCGGTTCGGTGGTTGTGGTGTCTGCTGCAGTGCTTGGAGTCCTCAGGAAGCGCTAGGAGCATCCTTCAACGGAGGTACCCAGTCGGGGTGCCAAGTGATCCGTTACAGATACTTAATGCAAAAGTCTGCTGTGGATCATTTGTACAGCACATTCTCTCAATTCTTTGATTGTTCGTCTAACAGCCAGAATATTTAAATTGTATTTTTATTTTTGACACGTCATCAGTTATCATAATATTAAGGTACAATACAAATTCAGAGAAGGACACATTGATTTTAGGAGTGTGAGTGGTACTGAGTGAGGGTGTGGCCTGGGGCGGGTACTCTGAGAAATTTTAGGTGATTTACTAATAATAAGTAATAAAACAAAAATGTAAGAACAATGTATGTTATTTATACAGACTGATTTCTAAACACATTGCTGCGAGTATTATTACTGTGGAGTTCTGTTATACACTCAGACACATTACTGGGAATATTATTAGGGTTAGAATACACAAGCAATAGGCATGTGCATGGGGAAAATTTGCGGTTCGGCCATCCGAAATTCGGGACTTCGGCACTTCGGTTCGACACTTTGACACTTCAGAACTTCGGCAACTTCGACACTTCGGAACTTCGGCAACTTCGGCACTTTGGAACTTTGGAATTTCGGAATTTTGGGACTTCGGCACTTCTGGACTTCTCTTGCAGCCGCTTAGTAGATATCTCCCTAATTCCCACAGTATTAGTGAGTTATCTACCAAAAGGCTGAAAGACCTAAATTGGTATTTTAGCCAAATTTACTAAGTAAAAATTAATACTAATTAATAGTAATTAAAATTACTTAGTATTAGTAAATTTTGCCCCTACTCGCTATACCACATGTAGGGGCATGTCTATTAAACAGTGAGCAGCCTGTGGCTACTCACTGTTTAAAAAAAAAGAAAAAAAAAAAGGTCCTCTTGCCCCCCTGGTCCTAAAGTAAAATAATGGGGGGGGGACCTATTGTCCTCCCCCCTGGTCCCCACCCCTGAGCGGCAGGTGGGGGCCCTAAATCAGAATATGGGGGGGCCTATTGTCCTCCCCCTCCCCCACCCCTGAGCGGTGGATGGGGGCCCTAAATTATAATAAGGGGGGCCCATAATGTCCTCCCCCCGGCGCCCACCTCTGAGCGGTGGGTGGGGGCCCTAAATTATAATAAGGGGGGACCTAATGTCCTCCCCCCTGGCCCGACCCCTGAGCAGTGGGTGGGGGCCCTAAATACCAATTGGGGGGACATAATGTCCTCCCCCTGGTCCCCACCATGAGCGGCAGGTGGGGGCCCTAAAGTAAAATGATGGGGGGGACCAATAGTCCTCCCCCCTGGCCCCCACCTCTGAGCGGTGGGTGGGAGCCCCAAATACCAATAAGAGGTGGGGACTTATTGTCCTCACCCTTGGCCCCCACCCCTGAGCAGCAGGTGGGGGCCCTAAATAAAAATGTAACCCCCCCCAGGTGACTAGGGGTCCCCAAACCCCTAGTCAACCCCCTGCCAAAAAAACTAAACCCTAACTACCCCCCTCACCCTAAAAATACCTGTAAAAAAAAAAAAAACTTACCATTTGATGTTTTCTTTCTTCTAAAATCTTCTTTTTTCAGCCCCCAAAAATTAAAAATCCATAATAACCGACGCACTTAAAAAAAAAAAAAAAACGAGCACAAAAAATAATAATCCTTCTTCACCCATGGAGGGCTCTGCGCAGACTGAGCTCTGCATGGCGGGGGAAAGCTTATAAAGCCATGCCCTGCCCTTCAATTAGGCTCGGAGCACTCTGATTGGTGGGTTTAAGCCATCCAATCAGAGTGCTCTGACAGTTAAATGAAGAGACTGACAGGTAAGTCTCTACATTTACCTGTCACAGCACTCTGACTGGTTAGCTTGAAATCCACCAGAGTGCTCTGTGTCATTTTACACAGCGTGGGAAAGTTCTTTGGAATTTTCCCACGCTGAGTAATTTTACTCATAACACTCTGATTGGTTACTTTCAATCCCTTCAGGTTAGAAGCCACCACTCGCGTGGCACGGGTGAGGGCTCGGGAGGGGGAAAAGTTTCTTTTTTTTTTTGTTTACAGTGAGCTGACTGTTTAATAGACATTTAATAGACATACCCCTACTCGTGGTGTAGAGAGTAGGGGTATAATTTACTAATACTAAGTAATCTTTTCTTAGTATTAGTAAATTTGGCTGAAAGACCAATTTAGGTCTTTCAGCCTTTTAGTAGATAACTCCCTGATACCGTGGGAATTAGGGAGTTATCTACTTATTCATTCCTGTCATTGCATTGACTGGCCAAGTAACTTACATTTTATATGAATGCGTGCTACTTGATTGTTGTAAATGTTGCAAATGCTTACAGCTGAATCCTGGCTATGTTTATATACTTTTTATTTAAAATTGTATACAGTGTAACATTCTTCATTCTTCCAGTGGGTAAGTACATTAGTTCTTAGGCAATACTGTGCTTCGGAAGTTCGGCACTTCGACACTTCGGAACTTCGGCAACTTTGGAACTTCGACACATTCGGAACATCGGAACTTCGGCACTTCGACACTTCGGAAATTCAGTAATTTTGGAACATCGGGACTTCAACAATTCGGCAATTCATCTATTCGGACATTCGGAAGTACCCGAATGTCCGAATTGCCCGAAATTAATCCAAAATGAATTGCACATGTCTAACAAGCAAATGGAAGCGAATTAGGAAAACACACGAAAAGGACTTGGGAATTGTTATAGACAACAAACTATGCAACAATGTGCAATGTCAATCAGCAGTGGCCAAGGCCAGTAAGGTATTGTCATGCATGAAAAAGGGCATTCATTCTCGGGAAGAATATCATTTTGCCTCTTTATAAATCACTGGTAAGACCCCATATTGAATATGCTGTGCAATTTTTGGCACCTGTTCTAAAGAAGGATATTATGGCACTAGAAAAAGTGCAGAGACGGGCTACAAAATTAATAAAAGGAATGGAAGTTTGCTTGAAAGTAGGATATTTAAAGTAGGAGTTAAAACAACAGGAGTTTGTTGGAGAACTGGTGGTCTGTGGTTGGTATTGGTTAATACCAAGTGGGAAAAAAAGCAGGTTTAAATTTATATTTATTTATTTTATTTTTTTAAACTTTGACCCTTTTTACATTTATTTTCTCCTTCCTGTTTTGATTTATTTTAATTTTTGTAACCTTTTCCCCTTTTCTTATATATATATTTTATTTCTTGCTGGGTTTATTTAAACTTTGACAAATTTTTTTCTCCTTGCTGGTTTTATTATTATTATAAAGTTTTTCCCTCCCTTTTTTTTCCTCTCTTGTTGTTTCTATTCCCCTCCTTGTGGGTGCTGCTGCTGCTGCTGAGCTAATTATGGGGAGTGCCCCTTAATTTCCACCTGTGTGGGATTTGTATTGCCAATATAAACCCACTACTGACTCACAGAGCTTGCTCACTGGAGTTTGCTTGGAAGTAGGCTATTTACAGTAGGAGTTAAAACAACAGTTGTAAGTACAAGGGAGTTTAAACCAAGAGGGTAAATATTGTTTTTGCTCACTTGTATTTTTGGTAACTGGGGATGAGTGCTAGCAAGATTACAAGTTTTACTCAGTGCACATCATGCCACATGTATGGATGCCTGGATGTACCCGTCCAGGGTCCATACCTCTGTGGTGGGTGTGAGCGAGTGGCTTTTCTGGAAGCTCAGATTGGAGATCTCGAGAGGCAAATTGCAACATTGAGGGAGATTGACAATCTTGAGAGGAGTCTGCTGCTCACTGAGCAGAGTTTAGTGGGGACAGGTAGTGGAGAGGGAGGAGATGAGGCAGATGGGGAACAGGCACGTAGCTGGGTGACAGTGGGGCAAGGAAGCAGGGGGGGAGGGAAGAGGAAAGGTTTAGCTAGTCCTGATCTTATGCAGCCCAACAGATTTGCCCGTTTGAGTGAAGATGTTGGGAGCATCAGCTCAGGAGTAGCTGTACTGCAGGAAGCTGTTCCTGCTAACAGCTGTGGGAACAGCCCCTCTAGTACAGGTGGGGTTGAGAGGGTAAGAAAGTCTTGACAGGTTGTGGTGGTAGGGGACTCTATTATTAAGAGAGCAGATAGGGTAATTTGAGTGGCGGGATTATTGGGAGGGGCTGGGGATGACCCAGCTGTCATGGTCCATATTGGTACCAATGACAAAGTCAGAGGAAAATGGAAGGTACTAAAGAGTGAGTTCAGGGATCAAGGACCTCCAAGGTAATATTTTCAGAAATATTACCTGTACCATGCGCTACAGTTTAAAGGCAGCGGGAGATTAGAGAGGTCAATGCGTGGCTGAAGTATTGGTGCAGGAAAGAGGGTTTTTAGAGCACTGGGCCGATTTTGTGCTTGGGTACAACCTGTATAGTCATGATGGATTGCACCTAAACGGGAGAGGGTGTGCTGTGCTGGGGGATAGGAT